AGTTACAAAGATGAGTGACACGTTTTTAATTAGGTTTTCGGGTATGCCCTTTCCGATTTTGAAAAAAATTTTCAAAATTCCTATCACGGAAGGGCGCACCCCTGCTTCGACGAAATTTGGTGCCTGGCGGTTTTTGAACATAAAAATCACGAATCGGGAATTAGTTTTTGAAATTCGAAAAAAAAGTTCCACTGCAATTCTTGGCCGGACAACGAAAATGGAGAGAATTCCAAGAAATTGGTTGTGTACATACTGGATGAGTTAAGGAACAAAATTTTAAAATAACTTTTCAAACAAAAGTTATAGGTACTCGTTTGGAGAATGGGCCTTGGGGCAAAGTGTCTCTCGCCTACTACTATAGTGAATGATCTAATTTCGTGTGTAGTTAGTTGAAAATATCACAAATAACAAAAAAATAACGATTTAAGTTGCCCCTATTTGATTTGTCCTATTATTTCCAAAACCAAAAAGGCACAAACGGTGCGAATAAATGCACTATTGAGCACAAATGATTATTGAGGCACAATACGTAAAAAAAATTAGTTCATTTTTGGCTAAGTGAACGGACCCTTCCCTTTATCATATTATCATAGCATATTGTTGTCTAATTATCTTGTATCCAATAATTGACTTTTTACGTTCTGCAACAACGCTGTTATTATTATTGAATTAAGAACTTATAACTTGTTAAAAAATTAAGTCGGATATTCATCTGAAAACTATATTTAGACGATCTTTGTATCAAAGGTATCCAGTTACCGACGTGCGTAAGTTTATCAATGGCATGATGTCACCGTAGTCAAAACATTCTCTCTCACCTCTCTACTCATTTTGAAGTGAGTATCTCGACTATATTGTATGAATTAAAAAATGTTGAAGAGTTTCCTTTAATCACGTTTTGTTACTTGCCGTACGATACCAGCACATTCTAGATAAAGAATACTGGCCACCTTTTCTCCTATCTCACTGACCTTCTATTCAGATTTATTACTCAATGGTAGTAGTCAATAATGAGAATTGTCACGCTGTTACTTTTAGAAATCACAACCCGAAATTTCGCTCAATAAACATTTAGACAAGTTCTCTAAAGTGAATAATTGCCACCTTCGTCATTTCCAAAGAAATTACATACCTACAATTATCATATTTTGAAAAAAATCGAACGAAATTACTCTTTGAAAATATTTCAAAGACTGCTGCACGTACTTCCACGTACTTGACTGACATGTTAAATTAATAAACAAAAATTCTGTCCAACCGGTCATTTTCTTATCGATATAATTGGTTAATTTAGAGGATTTCAAGTACTAGTAGTGAAAAATAGTATATAATCACGGTAGAGAAGTCTATTAATTATCTACCTTGATATATAATGTACAATTATTTGTGGCCAAGTTTTACCTTAGTGTAATTGATTCTTTGAAATTTTTGAAAATTGATTGAGGCCACCGATTGTTTCAATTCGATGGGTCATTATCGAAGCTTTTCGTGGCAGGATCTACATGTGCCCTATGTTTGAGTTAGTTAGGCAAATGTGTTTTGTGGGTGGTATAGTTGACCGCACGCCATTGCACACAGTAATATTGTTATTTTAATACGGTTTGTTGGAGTTCAAATGATCTTGCTTCTTAATAACAGAAATTCCGATTTTAAACTAGCAAAATTTGAAATCAAAGTCATGTTTTTCCAATTATTGATCCATTCTCCAATCAAACAATTTTTAACACTTTTAAGTTCAGAGCGGGACTAATTAAATCGTGAGAAGACAAAGCAGGAATCCAATCAACAGAACAAAAAAGGGCGTAAAGTTAAGATAAAGTGCTTGCTTGCTTACCTACTCACTTACTTAGAATGAAGGCTAATTTAATTTAAAATTGAACAAAGAGGAAAAGATAGAATAGAGCGGCCCAAGTCACTGGGAGCTACATTGAATATACCTACTTCGAAGCGGGGTGGAACAAATTGACCCTTGGGAAAGGAAATATAAACTTGTCAACCGGAGACATGTAATGAAACTATAGCCATAAATTACAATATTTAAACTCTCAAATTTCGGTTTAATAGGCATGATTGACAAAAAAGGAAACTTTCATACCAAATTTCAGTGGCTTTTTTTCCTGTTTTATACACTCTTTTACTCTCGTTAGTACCTTTAGTTTAGAGTCACACACAATAGAATATACGGGGTGGCCAAAGATAGACTGAAGGGGCACGTCTCAGAAGTGACCTAACAACTAACTCTCGAACTAACTTAACTAAATATTCTCTCCTAGCTATTTCTTTTAGCGATCAATAAACAGCAACCACCACCCAAATCAGGATTAAGACCTTAATGACAAGTAACAGCGATCAAATCCTGGATCAAATAGAAGTGCGATCAAAAGAATACTTCCTAGAATGCATCAGTATAAATAAGGATGGGGACTGTCGGTTTGGAACGATGGCGCACCAACTGAGGGCATTGCGTTGCCAGTGACATCACATCCTCACAGGAAATTAACCAAAGGATTAAAAAAAATAATCAACGCATACATCAGGGAAAACCTGGAAGATTTCTACCCACAATTGATAGAAGACGTAGACGGATAGGTAGAGGGAAGAAGGAGAGAACCAGCAGGGTTACAGAAATCGTAATCAAGAGGCACCGAGGCATTGAAGTGGAGAAATTTGAAGGAAAAGCAAGAGTATACCCATGGCCCAAATCAAGATTAAAATAGGAAGACTAACAATCATAGGATGCCACATCCCCTCGGACAAAAAGAGGGCAGGTGGAACTCAGAAATCGAAGTGAAACAACAGAAAAAGTGCGGAAAGAAACTGGGTATCATATTAGACGACCTCAATGCGCAACTAGACAGATTGGACGGACGTGAAGAGGAGGAAGGGAACGGCAGCGACCTTTAGGAACATGGTACACCTAAATGGACTGAGGGTAGAAAACATATTCGTCCAAAGTCCAAAATGGTAACATGTAGGAGGGGAAACATTGAATCGCTGATTGACCACATAATAAGGACGAAATCAAAGGAAATAAGCATCACGAATACAGCAGACATATGGGCAAAAACAGTAGGATCGGACCACAAAATGGTAAAGGGGAAAGTAAAGAAGGGGGAGGGGGGAAAAAGAGAACAGAAAGGAAAGGACGAGGAGCACAGCGGGGAAACCGAAGGGTGGGATGTGAAACTTCTGTCAGGGGAGAAGAAAAGGAAGGAGTACCGAAAGGAGTAGTAAGAGATTAGAAGCAAAAAGGGGAAAGGTATACCATATTGGAATAGGATCGGCGAAACGGTCAAAGAAGCAACAAGGAAAACACTAGGGAAACAGAAACCGCTCATGTAACCGAACAGGAAGCGGGCTAAAACCCACACTAACCTGAAACAAAGAAGGATCTAAGGGAAGCCAAGGAAGAAGAAAACAGTGCCTATGAGCAACACGAAATCAAGGAATTCGCCGAGGTCGCGAAGGACATCGACAAACTCAGACCAATGAAGAGGAATGCGCAAATGTAATGGTATAAGCACATCAGAAAATACAAAAGGAGGAAACAAGAGGGAAACAGAAATATATACCAACGACAGCGCGGGCAATGCTAGGACTATCCAAATTCCTAATCAACAGAACCATAAACGCGTGGCCAAGGGAGTATCCTAGTATACAATGGTTTTGGAAGAAATCCGAACACCAAAAGAAAACCAGGGGAATCAAACAAGGATGTCCGCTTCCCCAAGGATCTTCGGGATAGCACTTGACCACGGTATAGAACAAACGAGGATGATGGTGAGGAACCTTAGCACAGGCGGCCAATTACAAATACCGACATTACTGGCTTACGCGGACGATCTACTCGTAATCGCGGATAATTTAGAAGACACTGAGGACTTCGTCCAGGCCAGCGAGGTACCAGGTACACCTGGAAATAGTGGACCTACAAATACACAACGAAAATAGCTACATGATGACAAGAGTGCCAGGAAACAACACCCCTAGTACAAAGAAGGAGAGAAGACCATAATAGCCGGGAAGGAGATAACCATAAAGCACAAGATCAAATATCTGGGAGCACCCTCAGCAGGCACAAGGCAGTGAAAGACAGAATAACCAACGCATTCAGAATCACACACGGAATCTGGAACTTCTTACGAGAGAAGAAGATACCGGACAGCTTGAAAATGATGATTTACAACAGGATCATAGCACCGACAATCTTATACGGAATTAGCACTTGAGCGCTAACAAGGAGCAACAGACGAACATTGAGGAGGGCGGAGTGGAAGGCACTCAGGATACTGATGGAAAACAACAACCTCACAAGGAAGCAGAGAAGAGAACTACCAGAGAGAAAGACGATTACCAAGACACTGAAGATGAGGCAGATGAGATACTGGGGATATACCAACAGGAGGAACAAAGATCATATCATACGGGCTATGTGCCTCGGAATGGAAGGTAGGCCGACCCTGCCACACATGGAACACCACCATAAACCAAACGGTAGAGGTCTCGGGGATTACCATGGGAAGATGGGAAGGAAGAGTAGAGACAAAAATCAAAGGAAGAAAGAAACCAGAAGAATACTAGAGGTGGAGGAAGAATCAGACACAAGGACACGTAGCCAAGGGGAGGAGGAAAAGGGGACAGAAAGTAACGCAGGGAGAGGACAACAATAAAAAGGGCCTAACACGAGGGAAAACAGGGAAGGGAACGACGAACGAGACCAAAGCATAGGAACATCGGAAGCCAATGAACGCCCGGAGAAGAAGCTATCACTCTAGAAAGCAGAGTTCCCGCTAAGACAGATATACCAGTGGCGAAGCTGTGGCCGTACCCCTACCCGTTCGAGTCGGATAACACCCAGTTAGCCCCCTCCCCCCCCACAACCCCCCCAATCCACAAAATCCACCACATTGCTTGCAACAAAGTAATGGAGAAACGTCCCTGATAGTGTCTACCAGGGACGCATCCTCACGACAGTTCACTAAATCCTGGAAGAGGCGGCGACGCCAGGCATATGTCAAAGTTTCAAGTTTCAATTCTTCATGGTAGGAAGACTCCTTTTATAAACGAGCATTGCTTTAAGGACCTCTGGAAAGTGGTGAACACCAGAGAAGGCACAACTAATTTGGAGTGGACATCTACTCACCTAGGACTACCCTTAGCTATGTGCTTATTATGTGTCAAGTGTTTGAACTCAGTTTTGCTTTCGCAATGAAAGAGTAAATTAAGTGCAAGCAACAGTACTAGATCGGCAATTGAAGAAAGGGAAATTCGTTTAATTTAAATAGTCATTTGTATTAATAGTAAAATAATACGGTACACAGTTTCGAATAGTAGATACTGTTATGCCTCATCGAATACCTTTTTGTCACATCTTTAGTTCTGCATCTCGAACTCCCTCATCTGGTTTGGCCGTATACCAAATTACCATAACTAAGACCCATGAAATCAGGCGTGGTTCAATGGATTCGTCGAGAAACCGGCGAGATCACTCTCTCTCTTTCTCCTGTGCCCCCCTGGTGTTTGCTCTCAGGTCCTCGCGAGGCAACTTCGTTCGGTCAGTTTACGGGCCGCAAGCTTTGCTCTCTGTTGGTCTCGTGCGGCGAAAAAATCTAAACCCATCGCGCGCGTTTCGTTTTAATTACGGTTTCCGGCGCGTGAATTTATGACACGACCTTCCCCAGTTCGCGTTCCGTCCTTGCCCGATTTTTGAACCCGGTACCTGGGGTCTTCAGGTAGAGAAATACCGGAAGGGTGTTCTAGTAGTGTTCGGCGAAGTGAATTTTACACACCGGTTCTGTGCGTAACTGGATATCTCGAAATTTTCAATTGTGCTTCGGTTGTTTTCAAGTGCACTGAAACTGGAAGTGGAATTAAACAATTATGGTAATTTAATTTGTTTTCCTTGTACGATCCTTTTGTGGATTCTGGCTAATAACCGCTACTTTAGTGACATGATTGCGTGTGTTGCATACGATAATAATTAACTAAGTACAATTCCATGTTATTACAGCATTATGACTTACGTCATGCCAGTAACGAAACTAAGTGTTACACTTTACCTTGGGTAATCTCACACCATTTGTAAAAAAAGGGTGACATTGAGGTGACACCGCTTCAAATTATCCATCTCAAGTGAGAGATTATGTTGACAATCAATTATAATCCTCGCGATAATTAGTAACAATTTGTTTGGGTGTGTTCCACAAAAAAAATGCCCACCTACAACTGGGTGATATCAGACCGTTACAAAATAGTTGAAACGGGTTTAAAAATGAAAACGGAATTTCTTTTCAAATACCAATTTTTGCATGTCCTTATCTCTATGGTAATCTCCGGTTGACATATAATCGATCATTGCTACTTCGGACACGTTGACCTCAGCACGGTTCCTTGATCGCTAGAGATCTTCAAAACTCGCCTGGTTTTTCGAAGTGTCCAATTCATTCTTCTACAGGTGTCAATTACGTGATACATTTTTGAGCGCCATAAAATAGATACAACTGTGATCTGTACGTGCAAAAAGTGCCATTAACTACGCACGCACGTTATATCACGACATAATAATTTACAACCAATTCTTCGTGAAGATTTATTTCAGAGTGCGCGCCCAAGTTCTGTTACTTTCTCTGATAGAAACATTAAATTAACAGATCCTCAATTGTTTTTTACCTTTACGTAGAACAAATCACGCAACACTAAAAAAACTGTTACTTTTTCTTGCATGCCATAGAAACAGGTCGCACTCGTACGAGTTACCAAAACGTATTCTTCACAGACAGCAGTTGCTATTAATTCTAGGTCCGTGAATATACCTACATTTTGAGTTCATTTGGTTCTATTTTTGTCGTATCATACTCATTTTCTGCTCTTACGGCTTTCGATTTACTCAAATTTTTAGAATGACAACCCCTAGGGCACTCCAATTTCACGCAGGTCCATAACGTTAGTAACAAACATTTCTAGCGACGTATCGTTATCAACGGTATGCGTATAACCAAAGCGGAACCCCCTACAAATGTTGGCGACAAACGATGATACGAAAAAACCGAGGAAAAAACTAACGTGGACACGTGCAATTGAAACAACGTATGAAACATTTCTATAATTCTTACAAATTTGGAAAGTATTTTCAAAATACATTACAAAATATCGTTTTTACACCTTTTTAAAATTTTTTATGCTTACGTTTATAAAATATATCCAACAGTTTTGAAAAATTTCCATATTTTCGTTCTTTTCCAACATGTGTATAATTACTTGAAAAATTTGGGAAGCATTTCTGAAACATTTTCCTCACATTCCATCACTTCTGAAATACTCCTTAATTTTTCTAAACGTTTCCAAAATGCCTCCAACATTTCAGGTACATTCCCAAAATTTCTATAATTTCGCACAAATTTCCAATACTTATTTATGAAACGATTCTAGTACTTTCGAAGCATTTCTGAAACATTTTCTGAAGCACTTTCAAAATTCTTTGAATATTCTAGAGCGATTTTCTTGCACTTTCTGAAACATTTCTGTCACTTCTGAAATATTTCTTAATGTTTCTAAACTTTTCCAAATTATCGTTTCTAAAATTTGTATACGTTTCTGAAACACTTCCAAAATTCTTCCAACATTTACCGAGCATTTCCAATATTTCCGAAGCATTTTTGAAACATTTTTGAAGCATTTCCATTTTAAACATTCAGGAATATTTTCAAATTTTCTTGCACTCTTCCAACATTTCTATAATTTCTTACAAAATGTTCTACACAAATGTACAAGAAATTCCAAAAATGTTGCTACACTTTTTTTAAAATTTTGAACATATTTCCAACGTGATTCATATTTTTTACATTTACGAATCATTTATCGGAACATTATTGAAACATTCCTACACATTTCCGAGACATTTCCAACGTTTTTACCCGTTTCTAATATTCTATATTCTAAGTTAAACGTAAAATGTCTAAATGACTGGTTACATTTTCTAGAAAAACATGTCCTACCAACAACACCTAATGTATTTTAGGTGTTGTTGGTCCTACACGTTTTGAAAATTTGGAAAAATGTCAAAAATTACCTTTTCTCAAATCTACTATTTATCTAGGTATCTATATTTCTAAGAAGCATTCTAGAACACTTCTCCAATTTCTTAAATGTATGTTAATTCCAAGTATTCCTAAGGTTTTTAAACACTTTCAGCATTTTTGCACATTTTTTATGTTTCCAAAATTTCCTACACATTTCTAAACATTTTTAAACGTTTTTAATACATTACCCTCGACATTACCGATCCAAATCCAGTATAACATATGAAATGGGCACTAGTTCTTCCGTGGCAAGTTAAAACCGTTTATCTATAAAGAAAAACATTGATAATTTAGCGAATATTCCAGAAATCTCGATAGACATCGCGGCGCCATGAAAGATTACGCATCGGCCATAAAGAACGAATGCTGATGTGACGCAATTTTTCCGCGAAATATGACTGTTTGTTCGAGAATATTCGGAAGCGTTCAGAAGCACTTGAGAACACAAAAACGATGATACGAAAAAACTTACGTGGGCACATGCAATCGAAACAACGTCTGGATCATTTCTATAATTTTTTACAAATTTGGAAAGTATTTTCAAAATTTCCTTCACATTACCCTACTTGAGACACATTTGTGAAGCATTTCCCTCATATTTCCGTCACTGAAATATTTCTTTATTTTTTGAAACATTACAAAATTTCGTTTTACCGAGGTTTTTACACCTTTTTAAAATTTGTGATGCTTACGTTTATAAAATATATCCAACAGATTTGAAACATTTCCAAATTTTCGTTCTTTTTCAACATGTGTATAATTACTTGAAAAATTTGGGTGGCATTTCAAAAATTCGAGACATTTCTGGAACATCCCATCACTTCTGAAATATTTCTTAATTTTTCTAAACATTTCTATAATTTCTTGCAAAACACAAATGTCCAAAATTTAAAAAAAAAATGGTAACATCTTTGGAAATTCTTGTATATTTCCAACGTGATTCATTTCAAATATTTTTTTTACATTTACGAATCATTTACATGTCCTACACGTTTTGAAAATTTTCAAGAATGAGCTTTTCTCAAATATACTAAGAAGTATTCTAGAACACTTCTACAATTTCTTAAATGTATGTTAATTCAAGTATTCCTAAGGTTTTTAACACTTCCAGCATTTTTTTTGCACATTTTCTTTACGTTTCAAAACTTCCTACACATTTCTCAACGTTTTTAAATGCTTTTAATACATTACCGATACCGATATGGATGCGAATCCAGTATAATATATGAAATGGGCACTAGTTTTCCGTGGCAAGTTAAAACCGTTTCTCTATAAAGGAAAAAAATAATGTAGCGAATATTCCATAAATCTCGATAGACATCGCGGCGCCATGAAAGATTACTCATTGGTCATAAACAACGAATGCGGATGTAGCGCAATCTTTCCGCGAAATATTTTTTTTGTTGAAGAATATTCGGGAGCGTTCAGAAGCACTTGAGTACACTCGAGGTTGCTATGTAAGCGAGTCGATTTGCGTGTCAGTTCAGTTCCAATTTCAACGCAGAAGTAATAAATAGTTTGCGCTCTTACAAATTGTGCATGTGCGAATATTTTAACTGTTATAAATTAATTCATTTCAATTGATCGTTAATTAATTGTCAATAAAATGAAACACGTAATTAAATTTACGTCAGAAGAACTTTTTTATTTACTGATTTACAAATCGAGGCAAATTTAATTCAATATAGCAGACGAAATGGGATATCTCATAGAGTATTTCAACCCACGTTATTTATTCGTATCATCGTTCGTTATTTATTAAGTACCTACTCGTATTACACGATTTTTTTATTGCGAGCGATTTTGCTGAAGCTTCGACATTAAGACCTACTTGAGGGTCTATTAATAAAAGCAATTGGAACGCGCACGAAAAACAAGCAAAACATATTTGCTTATTTTCAATTAATTTATTGACCTTCCAGCACCCAATTGTTTTGATAAATTTACGTGCTGCATCTTGTATAATTGCTGTCTATTTTTTGTATAAAAAAATTAATATATACTTCACAGTCATGAGGTCATGACGCATCCACTCACGGCATCTTAAAATTATAAAATTCAAAATGACGAATCTTCGATGATCAATTCAAATAGTCATATGATGTATAAATGGTGTGTCAGACATTTGGACAACTTTTGACATTATTGAAAATAGGGATTTTAATGGGAAAGTTTTGAAAATCTTCAAAATCTCTTCAGAATCATTTCAATTTTTTCAGAATCTTTTCAAAATCTCTTCAGAATCACTTCGAAATCTCTTTCAAAGCTTTTCAAAATTTCTTTAAAACCTCTTCACAATCTTTTAAATTTCCATAATCTTTTCAAAATCTCTTCAAAATCTCTTCAAAATGTTTTTAAAATCTTCTAAATCTCCAGAATCTTTTCAAAATCTCTTCAAAAATTTCTTCAAAATCTCTTCAAATTATCTTTACAATTTCTTCAAAATCTCTTCAAAATCTTCTAAATTTCCAGAATCTTTTCAAAATCTCTTCAAAAATTTCTTCAAAATCTTTTCAAATTATCTTTACAATTTCTTCAAAATATATCTGACTACTGACAAGTGTAAAGGTTATGCCTACTAACACAATAAAGATTATTACTATTATTACAAAATCTTCTAAATTTCCAGAATCTGTCCAAAATCTCTTTAAAATCTCTTCAAAATCTCTTTAAAATCTCTCCAAAATTTCTTCAAAATCTCTTCAAAATTTCGGCGCAAATTATGCCCCATTTTAAATGATATTGGGCCCAATCAACTTCACGGATCCACGAATTTATACTATTTTTATTTTTCTTATTCAGAAA